ACTGATTGGAAGTCAAAAAAGCGGATAAAAGATGATTGATTTCACAGAGCAATGAATGCAGTTGCAGAGAAAGATGCGAGAAACCAACACTCTTAAAAACTAACTGAGCGGATCCATTACGAGTTAGCAACGATACTAGTTGGTAAAACTTTTTGAATAAAATAACACGACAGATAGCGTACAAGCCTTAAAATGTGGCAGAATAGATGGGGTTGGGATGGAAGCCATGTTCTGCGTCCCTAACGTCCAAAGCTAGAAGTGCAGAGGAAGCGCCCCTGTCTGAATGTGCTCAGAAAGGATGAAAAAAATTAAAGTGAGCCGGAGAAGGATTTTTGCCGAGGCCTGGAATGGGGAGAAACCCTTGATGGACCAGGTATTGGCCACGTGAAGAACTTTGAATCGGCGAGGATCCACCACGATGAAGAACTGAACACGGGTGCCTCCCTCCAACTCCATTTTCACCTTGAAGGACGAAGGAGCTCAACAAAATTTAGAAGGTCGGTTCAGTGTTCTAGAAGAATTAACAAAATCGGACATTCAACCTTCACTAGTAGAGTTCATGAAATCGCCAAAGAAGTATGAGAGGGGTTTTCTGAAAACAAGCCTCATGACTTCCTCCTGTTTACTGCCAATATCGATCAACCCATATTTCACAATACCACTTTGTACCATGTCAGTTAGTGTGTTTCCTTAGATGAAGGTTGACCCTCCCTTCCATGGCTTAATCGTCCAATCACGAAATAGGATTCTTGAGTGGAGGTCTTCCCATCACACCCGTTCGCTCTGCATTAGTAACCCTGCTAGCCAACCGCCGACGCCTGTCCCTCGAGCCCAAGTGACATAGGCTCAAAGAAGAAGAAAGCTGCATGACCGAAAACTCCAAGAAAAGGAGACCCTATGCTCGAGATCAGTTTCGGCCTTTCGATTCCCGTCTGGATTAAGTCTGCCTGAGAAGGGGAAGGGCCGCAAATCCATACAAGAGATTGAAGGAGAAATTTTGAAATCGACAGGATAGCGATAGGTGAGACGAACGAAAAAGAAAAGGAAGAAAAAGGAAACAGTGCAGAACGTTAAACTCAAAGATTTCTTTCAAAACTCAATTGAAAGCAGTGATCCAAAAGTTAAAAAGGGAAGTGGGAGGGAAAAAAAAGAAAATGGGTCCCACCAACATAAGTCATGGAGTTCTAGCCGTTGTGGATTCGCTGAAAATGGAAGAAAACACACACGTACTATAGTTCAGACGCTGCCTTACATTACAGAATGATTTCCGAATTCATTGCCTACTTCTTAAATTAATTTCTGACTCGCTCACGCCCGAGTATTACCTCCGTACTTAGTCCACGTCTACGCCTTCTCCTATGTACACGCCTTTTCTCCTGCACAGTGTCTTGTCATGCAGGCATTATGGTACCACAGCGATTTTGTACCAGTTGGTTAACTTAGTAAAGAGTTTGAACGGTTGACTGACAAGCTTGCAGTTCGTTCCTTTACAAACCCCAAATTCCCACTTCGGACCACACCGCTTGCTTCAGCCCTTGGCCCGAAAATCTCAAAACTCGTACCATACTCAGAGCTTCTTTGTCATCGATTGGATATTCCTTTTCCCATGGAGTGTTCTTCAGGTAATCACTGGTGGTATCTGGGGTATGAGCACTTAATTCCTCTTCCAGTTCGACGGCAATCTCATCATCGTCGGAACTGAGGTCGCTGTTTTTCTCCTTCTTCATCCTTTCCGCTTTCCTTTGTTCTTCCTTCAATTTCTTCTCCTCACTCAGCGCATCTTCGAACATTTCCACGGTGTCCGCTCCAGCCGCCTGTCGTACACGTCTTCTCAGAAGCGGTTGCTCCGGCGGTGCATCAGCTTCGCCCTGAAGATTAACCCGAGAAATTAAACTGCCCTCTCTGAAAAGCAGGACGAACCTCGCTCTCATCCGATGTAACTGTAAAAGATGATCCCGTTGTGCTTTGGTGTCCACTATCAGCGAACTCCTCTTCATCGCTCTCACTTTCGGAGGAACTCTCTTCTTCCAGCTCTGGATGCCTTGTGTTCAAGGGTGCGGGCTTCGCGTCTGCTGTGAACATGAGGAACCGCAGCACCTGAAATTTCAAGAGAATAGTGATGCTCCTAATATACTTGCACATTGTCGTGACATACACGCACCATTGCACCAAACCAAAGGACGGCAATTAAGTAATCCCTCGCACACGGAGAGACTCATTTGGTACCGTTAATGATTTTCTATTGGAAGGAAAAACTCACATCGTGGCTGTAATCACCGGCCTTTTCTTGAACTTTCCGAAGGGGTCCAATCGGGGCCAGAACTGCGAATATGTCTGAAAAAAACCAATGTTTTTTCAACAGTAGGAACAGTTCCTGCTGAACGAAACCCTTTTAGGAATCGAAGACTTGGCGTCGAAATCGCAAATGCTTAATAGTCCCATCGTGTCACATTTTGGGAAGTGGGATCCCGTGCCCGAACGACGTTAGGCGCTCGCCTCCTCTGTTGTGTAAAGTTCTAGTGGGTACGGTAACTGCTGCGAAACTACTCTCACACGCATGCCTGTGCCTGCGGGAATTTGGTTAGGAAGTTCGTTACACCATTTTGGGTTGTTTGGGAGAGATCCCGTTTGGCTCTCAGCGCGCGGTGATCTTTAGTTAGTTTCCTCACCGTGGACTGCGATTTGCAAGTTGTCTCAGTCATCTGTCTTGTCGTGGAGAGTAGCATTCAGGACTCTTAACTGCCACTCTGACATCTTGGAAATTTCCCGTTCCACATATTTGGGCCGCTGTCTTATTATTGTCCCAAACCACATATCCCTGCTTGATTTTCACCACCAGGGTCTTATTCGAAAGAAGAAGAGCTCGACCATAGCTGAGTTCCTCATTGCCACGTCTGGCCGCGATAGACAGGCACAGGTGCCCGGAGAACGTCCGCTGCGCGTGTCCGTCGAGAGTAGGTCACCCCGCCCATTTCGCGCGCGGCGCATCACACTGAGGTCTCGAGATGACATTACAGTACCACCAAGTGTCGTTGGAGCAAATGATTTGCATTTGTCTGTGTTATCTTCTTCTTGAACTGACTGCCGTGGACCAAACGCAAAGCGTATGCCCCAGTGACAATTGCGACGTCTGTCAAATATCGCGGGCCGACTCGCCGCGTGCGACGCCCCCAGGTTCCCTGATAGTCTATCCATGGTACTTAGTTAGCGCATAGATTTCCCAAGGGGATTAGTGGCTGAACTTATCTGAAGGAGCGAAATTGTAACGCTTTCTGAAAGCGATCGTATCCGAGCTCAACAACGTCTCCGATGTGGACGGAACTTAAAATCGGTTGGGCTTTTTAGCGCGACAAATCAATGATAGCCCAATCGCGCGGGAAAATTGAGCAGATTTGGAAAAGAAAAGATTCACAAAGAGTCACTCACCCCACAGCGCTACACACCACAACACAAACCATGCTGTATAGCCAGGGAATGAACGAAGATAGAACAAGGAGACTAGACTGCAATTTGACAGAACGAAAAACTGATGAAGTAGGAGCGGAGCGCCAGGATAGAAAAATGCCTGTAAACAAAACCAGTAAACAAAGAAGCACGAAAAACAAGGTCATCAGTTATAAGCGAATCGAGTGTGAATATTGAAAATTTATAGTATATCATCAAAAAACGTACAATACATCCAAATCCACCGTAAGCGGTAACTAGCCCCGGCAAGTATTCGTAGATGATCTTGTCTTCATCTACTTCCAAACTCTTCAGCAAGTCGCTGAAAATACAAAACTTTCCAGAAATCTAAGACGTTTTTTTTTCTAATCTTTCGCCGGTTCTAAGACATCCTGGAGTGCAATGAATGTGATATCGATCGCTTCTGTGTCAAAAAAGGCGACTATTTCAAAGTATACCAGATTACGGGGCGTTGTTCATTGCACAAAAGCCAAGTCACAGATTCATTTGAGAAAACTTGCATTGAAGCCGCAAAAGCGAAAGAGCCTTGAAACGTTGCTTTTCTATTTTCAGTGGTACCCAAGGAAGGCCGGGATAGAGCAGCCACGACAGGCGTTCCCAGTAGCCGCATGCTTCTGGGATCGAGTTTCACCCAAGTTCATGTTCAAAAGCCGCCTAACAGGTAGGAATTTTCCATGAAACAGTTACAATGAGCATTTCGCAATCACTTCAGGACGATTTTGTTGTTTTCTCAAGGTCTATAGGAGGTGTGAAATGTCCCATAACGGCAAAGTTCCCCTTCTTCTCTCTAGCTTTGTCCCGCCGTAGGATCCGCTAATTCCAGTAATCTTACCCAAACGTCCCCATTTCATTCCTAGTATATCGAGAGTAGATCAATACGATTGCAAATAATAACTTACTAGAAAAATCCACCCGATACTGCAAACAAAATCAGCAAACAAGACATGTGCAACCAGAGTTGCACAAGTCGTCGACAATCCCAAAGTGCAAGAAGTAGCATGGAAAACGATACAACGGCCAGTACAACCATAGCACTAAAGGCATTTATCTGAAACAAACTGGTTACGAACGATCCTAGGCAAGTTTTCAAATTGTCTCCTCGTGCCTACTGTTCAGGATAACTATTGATTTTACGCGCCCATGGCCAATGAGGGTCACTCACATGTGTTTCAAATGCACGAAGGGGCCAAAACATTAAATGATTTCAGCCAGCGATTTAGGATTAGAACAAAGAGCATCATTCATTGCAGAAAGGGGGAGCAGTTCGTCCAGATAGGTGATCTATGAGTAACTTCTACCTGACCACTAGTTCAGTCCACTAGTTACCTAGGTTACTACTACTTCTATTTGCCTATCTATTCAGTTGATCATTAGTTATTCAGGTATTTTCTCAGTAATAAGCAAAAATTAAAGTGTTTGATTCAACATGTACGTATGCTCAAGTAAATCTCACTGCACCGATTAACCAACCTCGAGGGACTGAAAGTCTCAGCCAGTCAGAATAAGCTGTGAGTTTCAGAAATGCTTATGATCTCCAGCGATTCTTAGGAGCAGGTTACGTTTGAAGGAGTCTGTGGGAGGTTAATTTATGAACAACTCGGTGACTTACAATTCCATCATGGTACTGATTTCCAGTAGTACTATTTCCACTCATAAGAAACATCGCTGAGAGGCGTTCGTCAGTCTTCATTTCGTACACATAAATCCATGCCGACAATGTCATCGCCATGTTAAGCATCACGGGCCGTAATAGTTTGGACACCTAGATAAAAACCGATGTAGACTAGGTCCACAGTTAGCAATGAACAGTCCACAGTCAATGAAAATGGGAAAATCGGAGTAAAGGTCTGAGCCTTGCTGCTAAGTGATTTTCTTTTGATCATTTCCCTTTCCTATGATGAGCCCATACTCTCCACTTCTCTGACTTCGCGATTCTGCTATCAGCGTAATTCTGTGCCTCTCCTACGCTTACCTTGAAACTATTATTCACGTAGTGGTATACTCGCATTGTATTGACTAGAAATGGTTGTAAGTTAGGCCGGATTTTTGAAAGGAAGCTATGCCATACACAAGACAGGTTTTGCACTTTGTAGACTTTGTGATACAGTAGCAACTCACCGTTATAGAGAACAATCACCAGCCGATCTGGCTTTGCACAGGACAAAAAAAAAGTAAGGAGTAAGAAAGCGAGGCAGGGGCACCTTATCCAGGCTACACATTTGAGCGCAAACCTGTAGCTTGAGTAACCGCATAAAAAACCAGTCTAGATTGGAACCCGAACGATTTCCCCAGGGAAAAAAATCCGTTTGAATTTCCCTGGATGCGTTTTTACATAACACAAACAACAACTGAGAAAATGTAAGGAACCCCTGTAAGACGCGTACATTGCGTAGTCATATGATATCAGATGGATTGAATCTGGGATGGAACTCGGATCCTAATCCGTGCCTTTTGAAACCGTACTCCTATAATAGCACTACAATTTTGAGATCACTGCATTCTCCTTCTCCATCGAACATTCACCTACTGGGAGACATGCACTCAAGTTTTCCCAAGCCAGCTGCTATACGAAATGACAGAAACGAAGATTCAGTCGGGCACTCAGCTCTTACAGTAACCCCCTCGCTTAATCCACCACCCACCCCCGCGTCCTTGCCAAAAGCCCCTTTTCGCCACGTCCTATATGTGACGGGTAGAAATTTGCGCATCAACACGTGCCGGATTACTGTAAGAGCCGAGTGCCGGACTGAATTTTCGTTTCTGTTACCAAATAAGGTCTTGGTTACAAGCGAGCAGCGACTCGCCCGCTGCGGCTGACGCATGCTGCCAGTGCGCCGATAGACACAATATTACCAGTAGAAACAGAGGATTTCTTACAATGTTATTAATCGCTCACCTCACTGAATTGCGATATCACGCGACAAGTGAATCCATCGCATTGGCATGTTTGTCGCATTTTCTAGAAGTATACGTTTCTGTTATTTCAGAACACGACGATTATGTTAATACGTTAGTGCTGTAAGTTTTGGCGGATTACTAAGTTAGACTATTGTGTGTTGACTTGAGTTGACTATCGTGACTCTTGGCTACTGAAAAACAACTGAAATAATTTCATAATTGAAAGTACCATTAAAAAGTCAACGTAATTTGCAATAGGTCTAGATAACAGGTATGTGGAAGACGTTAAGTAACAGCAGTAACAGTAACAGAAATAAACACTAACCTCACTCCAATCGATCTGCAAAACGAGATAACCACAACCATCATATCGTATCACTCCTCAATCAAAGCATTTCCCACGTGGCCACCAGCTTAGAACAGTCTACACACGAGATTACTGGTACGACCCCATGCGAAGGTTATCCAATGTGTTCCCTGAAGAAAAATCGGTTAAAAAATGGATTATGAGACGACTTGTTATTGATCAGTCACTTCAGGATGCGCCATGTATCTGGCACTAGTTCAGAATCACTGGATGCATTTGACTACGAAATTTGTGGAGCGAATACGACTGTCTAATCCCATAGGAATGGATTCGAGTGGGACCAGCTAATCAAGCTCCCAGTTCACAGCTCGCAGTCCCTGTGGGTCGGAAAGCTCCCAGTTCACAGCTCGCAGTCTCTGTGGGTCGGAAAGGTGGGAGGTCGTCAGTTACCCATTACTGTATACATTACCAGTTTATGTAGTTGCTCCACAGCGGAAGAGAGCTCAGTTTATAAGCATGCGTTGCTCAAACGTTTGCTTATTCCGGCCACTCCACAAGTCACTCTCAGACAACCTATTAAACGGAATCATCAACGGCGAAGTAGCCACCTATGTTGTGATCTGTGCTGTATAAGCGCTGTAAGTAGTAACACCATGTTTTGGCTTACTCCTAACTCTTATTCTGCTCAGTTTAGACTTTTTATACACTTTCATAACAAGTTGGTAGAAAGTTCGATTTGATTAGAATTGGAAACCGCAAAACATACGATTCCGTAGTCGTCGTTTTGGCCGGTCTATTGGTTCCATTGCAATCAACGTCGTCATCATGTT